ACATCAGCAAGGGGTTTTTCCATAGTTTCCTTGTAACAAACATTCTTCTTTGATGTCAGAATGGACGTCTACATGAATCTCACATTGTTGTGTGCTTTTTATGAAGGGCAGCTGGTCAGACACCCTTTTGGTCTGGGCTTGCTGATTTTGAGGTGTTTGTGCGATGCCACGGAAGGTGTGGCCAGCAGGTTGCTGAATATCCTGGGCTGGAGCTCAGGAGAGAAACTTGGGCTGAACAGACGTGCGGTTGAGGCCATGGCGGTGAATGAGATCTTCCGGAGGGAACCCAGACATAGGAGAATGTAGACGATGAGCATGGACAGATGTTGGTGGGGGTGGGGCACATGTGTCAGAAAAGAAAAAAGTAACTAGAAAATAAGCCTGAGAGTGGGGGGCCTGAGAGGTGAGAAGGCAACCAGAAGAACGCATGGCTGAAGGGCAAGGACAGAGTGACAAATATGGCAGAGGGGTTGCCTAGCCAGGACGTTGTCGCTGGGAGAGAAAAGGGCAGTTTCAGCCCAGCCGATGTGGCTCAGTGGTTGAGCATTGACCTATGAAACAGGAGGTCACAGTTGGATTCCAGGTCAGGCCACATGCCTGGGTTGTGTGCTCGATCTCCAGTGTGGGGTGTGCAGGAGGCAGTTGATCAATGATTCTCTCTCGTCATTGATGTTTCTCTCTCTCTTCCTTTCTGAAATAAAAAAATATGTATTTTTTTTAAAAGAAAAAGAAAACAAAAGGGCCATTTCAGTGGAGAAAGGTTGAGAGGGAAGCCAGTTGAAACAGTGAGAACCGATGGCCCTTTCAAGACATTCCCTGCAAGGAGAAGAAAGAGCTAGCAGGAGCGGGAGGAGACTGGAGGTCTAGAACATAAACATCATCACCATTATTATTAATGGGAGAGGCTTATGCACATTAAAGTGCTAGTGGGAAGAGGAAATTGGGGAGGAAGAGGGTGGAGATACTGGAACAAAAGAGGGTATCAGGTCCTCTGAGCGAGGGGCAGGGATGGGACCTAGAGCCCAGGAGGAGGGTGGATCCTGCGGGCAAGGGGCCTCCCTTTCCCAGAAGCCAGAGGAGGGTACATTTGTAGGTTTAGTGGTAGAAAGTTTTCTTCTAACATGTTTTCCCTCCCTGACGAACCCGGGGAACATCCACCTCACAGAGAGACCCCAGAGAAGCTGGCGAAGGATTGTGCAGGCTCTTCCTTTCCTTCCACATGCAGCTGACCTCAGCAGGGGACAGAGTCATAGTCAGGACAGCCAAGCGAGACTCCCCTCCCCCGTAGCCCAGGGCGGCTGAGTGGCTCCTCAGGACCCTACTAGCATCAGCCCACACCCTGTCTCCCTTCTAGAACCAGCCCTGTCTCTTCTGGTCAACTCGAACTTAATTACACTCGAATCCGTTCCATAGCATGGACCTTTTTTAGGCATTAGTGACTGGAAGAGCATTGTTCTATTACCTCACATTTTCCAAACCCACTTCACACAGATGGAATCTCTTGTAATCCTATAAGGCCAAACACAGAAGAGGAGCAGGGCCAAGGAGGTGGGGCTCAGGGCCTGTTTTAGTAGATAGAATAGCCTTATTTCTTTTGACATCTTGATAAATCTTTCTGTGCTGCGTTTGGGAGATTTCAGCACTGAGGAACGCATTCATTCAACAAATGCTGCTCAGCATCTGCTGCGAGCCAGGCCTTGCCCTGCATGTCGCCTCTCTGTCAGCCTCTCTCTTGGTCTGTGGAGGCGGTGTCACCAACCCTGCTTCATCAGCCAGGAAACTGATGTGAGAGAGGTGAACTTACCTTCGGTCACCCAGGAATAAGTGGCAGGGCTGGGATTTGGGGTGAGGTCCTTGGTTGGCTCTAAGTCCTTTGATCCTTCTATTTTATCAAGGAAGCTCTTCAACAGTGTTTTACTCTGTTGGGGTTTTAATTCTAAATGTTACGGGCCTTCCAGTGCCAAAGGTTGCTTAGGGAATTGTCAAAACCCAAGAACTACACATACGGTTTTTGAGTCACGGTCTTAGAAATGTTCAAATCAAATAAATTCAGGGCAGATGTATTAACTGCGTGCTTTGGTTCCTGCCTGCATGACATCAGCAAAATGAAAGAGAAATAATAGATTTTTAAATAGTTCAAGACAGCAACAAGAGTGTGGTGTGGGAGAAGCAGAGGGTGTTTGGGTTAGAGCTGATTCTGACGGCGTATGACCGGGGAAGAGGTGGGGAGATAACCTTTATCACACATCACGTGCTCGGTGCTCTGGGTGTATTAATCTCATCTAATTGTCAAGATGAACTTCACAGATAAATAGAGTACTACACCCATTTTAAGATGAGAAAATTGAGGTTCTGAGAAGATAAGCATCATGTAGGACCCGGGTCTTTCTTTTTTCTTTTTAATAATTTTATTTTTATTTACTTATTTTCCTCGCCCTCTCACCCCATTGATTTTTAGAGAGAGTGGAAGGGAGGGGGAGAGGCATAGAGAGAGAAACATCAATGTGAGAGAGACACATCGATTGGTTGCCTCCCGCACATGCCCCAACTAGGGCCAGGGATTGAGCCTGCAACCAAGGTATGTGCCCTTGACTGCATCTGAATCGAACCTGGGACCCCAGTCCACAGGCTGATGCTCTATCCGCTGAGCCGAACCAGCTCAGGCTGAGCCTGGTCTTTCTAAGGGGAAGATCCACATTGCTTCCTTTCAGGATGCCTTCCTAAGTTACTTATGGCGTGGTGTAAGATTGGGGACTCAATTAAATGTACACACACACACACACACACACACACGTGTATAATTTTGGCTATTTATCAAAGAAGTCAGAAAAAAATAAAATAAAAGGAGCAACTATTGGCCAGAAATTAGGCAACAACCATGCCTCAGTCCTTGAACATCAGTTTTATGATTATAACCCATACCTTGCCGGGACTGGCTTTGGGATTCACAGGGGAGAAAGGCTCTTGTCCTCACAATTAAACATTGAAAGGGCAATAATATACATTTGCAAAACGATTAAAATAGGTGAAAAGAAGCAAATATAAAATAGGGTGGGAGAAGTAAATATAACTCAGGTAGGCCAAATATACATTTCAGATAAAGGAGAATCATGGTACACAGGTAATTTATTATTATTTTTAATCCTCATCCAAGGTATATGTTTATTGATTTGAGAGGTAGATAGATAGACAGACAGACAGACATTGATGTGACTGGAACATCGATTGGTTGCTTCCCATAGGTGCCCCAGCCAGGGATCGAACCCACAACCTTTTTGGTGTAAGAGATAATGCTCCAACTAACAGCCACCCAGCCAGGCTACACAGGTAAATTTTACATCTCAAAGGCATTCATGTGCACTTTTGAAAGACAGTAGAGTCAAATTATCTTTTCAAGAGGACGAATGATACTGAGGCCCTTAACCTTTTTGTTAAAATGGTTGTGCTGAGAATTAGGTAACATGGGAAGTGCCTCTCCAGTGCTGGCGTGTGTGTGGGGTGGTTCTTGATAAATGGCAGCATTGGTTAATATCATTGTCATTACTGTTATTTAGGGTGTGAAGGACTTGGCAGGGTCAGGGATGGTTGTGTTTCCTCATGTGGGTGACCGGGAGGGCGATGATGCCATTTACAGAAATGAGGTGGCCGGGAAGAGGAGCTGTTTTTAGCTTCTGGCTGGTTCTCAGTCGTTCTCAAGGCCAGGTCATTCATCTGGTGTCCAGAGCTGTCCATTGCCTTCAGCTAGGCCAGCCGTGGGCAAACTACGGCCCGTTTGAAATGAATAAAACTAAAAAAAAAAAAAAAGACCGTACCCTTTTATGTAATGATGTTTACTTTGAATTTATATTAGTTCACACTAACACTCCATCCATGCTTTTGTTCCAGCCCTCCGGTCCAGTTTAAGAACCCATTGTGGCCCTCGAGTCTAAAAGTTTGCCCACCCCTGAGCTAGGCTGTGGTTTAAAGTTGGGTCCTGAGGTGCATTGGAAGGGCGTGGCACTTTAGGCATAACTGCTCAGCCAGCAAGTTTTGTCTTGTCCATTCCTGCTGCCCTCTCTGGCTTCTAGCAGACTCTGATCTGTGTCTATTCCAGTTGGTGGACAGCTGGCTCTCACTAAAGATCTTATAAAAGTTCCAGGAGTGTGGTAAAATAATGTTATTAATAATACTGAGGCCTGATATGAACTAAAAGGAGGTCTTGTCACTTAGGGGTGGAGAACTTTAGAATCTACCCCTTTCCCCATTCTCTGCCAGGGCTCCACAGGCACCAGCTGAGAATGCTAGGCATTTGAATAGGGGCTTTTCCTTGGTCCTTTTATACAATCCCCTTAGATTGCTCCTGTTATCTCCCTTGGATCAGAACCAGCCTCACGGAAAGGTAAATTTTAGGTAGTTTGATCAAACTATAATGCTAAGCCTGCTGAAAAAGAAGAGACAAGGCCCCGGAAAGAGATATTAAAGGGAACTTCTCCTCTGTCCCCTTTGGTTATATGATGGATGGGAGGGTCCAGCTTCAGGTAGGAATCAAGGTAATCCCAGAAGCTTCCCTGGTTGCAGTGGGCTTGGGTCAGGCTTTCCTTGACCCCAGGAATAGAGGATGTCATGTAGCTGATGAAACCTGAGATTCTCCAGCCAGATTTAAATTTCGAGTTTGCCTTTGGGGGGATGAGTCCCACTAGTTAAAACGTTATGTCCTTTCTCAGACAATTTGAGTCAAGAAGGGATTTCTGGTCCCAGAGAAGCTGGTGGAGTGGCAGTGGTGAGGTTGAGTATTTTGGACAGAAGTCCTGGGGAATAGGGCTGTAGAGAAAGCATCCCCCTTCTCATCTCTAGGGTCCCAGGAAGCGCCTCCTCCCAGCCTTCCTCTCCAGAGGCAGAGGGTCTTCCCACTCTGGTGAGGATAGCTCTTCCCCACCTCCATATCCACGTTCTATCAGGTGCCCCTGATGTGTTTGCATCCCAATTAGAACCACTGTTGAAATGGACTCTTTGCTTCCTAGGAACTAGCCAGCTGTGGATGGAGTAAGAAGGAGAAACATAGTCTCGCCCCAAACGTTGTGGCCTTTACCCGGAGGTTTAACCAGGTAAGCAACCCCTTGCATGTTCCGGTCCAGATAGCAGTGTTGCCACCTGTAGACTGGGGAGCCCTGCTGGGGTTCAATTCCAAACACTTGGTCCCAGGTCCAGGCCCCTCTTCCTGAACCCCACTTTCATCAATTCTTGGGCCATCACAGTCCTCTTTTCTCACAGCAGGTGGAACTGAACACATCTTTCCTGTGTTTAAATCACTTCAGTGGCTTCCAATTCCACATAAGCTAAGGTTCAAGCACCTTAATTGCCCTGCAAGGTCCTGCATGGTGGATCTGGCTATGTCCACCCGCCAGCCTCATCTCTTGCCCCTCCCCTTACTCTGTGGGCTTCAGCCATCCTGGCCTTCCTTCCCTTTCCCAATGCATCATACCTCTGTCCCGTCAGGCTTCCATGCATGCTGTCTTCTCAGCTCAGAATTCTTCCTCAACCTGAACGGCACCTCCTGGGGAGTCTTCCATGAACCCCAGCCTGTATAAGGTCTCCCCTCACTGCACCTGTGCTTCTCCATGTGGCCCTCACTCACCTGTCCTCATTTTGTGTGACTCTCCAGTCTCCAGCTTCCTTCCCCGTCTGTGGGCTCCATGAGAGCAGGAACTGTGTCTGCCTTGTTCATCACTGCGTCCCCCACCTTTTGCCCAAGGTCAGCATAGAATAGACCCTCAGTAAATGCATGTGGAATGAGTGCATGAGGTGCTCAGGAAGCATTCCTTGAAGTGAATTTCTTTGAATTCCCGATGGCCTGCTCACTGGCCTCATACATCCTACTACGAACTGACTAGGTCCAGCCAGAACCTTTGTTCCATGTATGAAGATCTGCATCCCTACTTACTAAGTGATAGTGGGGACTTGGGCCTGCTGAAGGGGTGGGCTTCTGATTGTTGTCAGGTCTCCCAGGACATGGTCATCAGTAGGAAGCACTCTGCAAGACCCCTTTGGATAGATCAAGCCCTTAAATGGTGCTGTTGACAGTTGTTCTTATTTTCTGCTTGTTTTACTGGTTTCAAATGAGGGCAGTGGCTTAGAGGTTGCATGGTGTGCACGACTGGATCTCTGGGTGATGGGCCTGGGTTCCCTCGGGCGCCTTCCTCTAGCTGGGCGTTCCCTCTTGGAAATGCCGGGTCCTGCGCATCACATTACCCAGCCCCCTCCAGACCTCCCCAGTCTGGGCTGCCACCCCGAGTACAGCAGGAGCCTCAGAGAGGCACCAGCTCGAGTCCTCAGAGCAAGGCTGCGTTAGCATGACTTGTTTTATGAGACAGTGGGAACTAAGGAGGGCCTGACGGCGGTAGGGAGTGCACACCGTTTGTTTTGAAAAGGAAGTTCTAAAGTCTTTTGTTTCTTTTTTCTTTGTTTTCAAAATCTTTTCCTTTTCAACTGAGCTTAGTCTTTTAAGAAAACACACCAAAAACCAGATGTGCACACACTATCAGGGGATTCATAGTTTCCTAGCAAAACTATCTGACTCGGAGCCAGCTCTGTCCCACCTCCGACCAGCCGCCGAGCTCCCGGAGGCCACTGGGGGCTCTGATGTAATCTGCTTTGCACAGGAGGCCAGGTCAGCTTGGCCAAGGGCAGCGTGGCTCATCCTGCGAACAATTGCATCGTGTCCAGATCAGACCAATACAACAAACCAGAGCAAAGCCACACTTTCCCAAACGGTACCCTGAGAGAGGGTCTTCCTGTGGCCTGTCAGCTCCTCAGAGCAGCAGCTCCTGGACATACTCTGGTAGCTCCGGTTTGAAAACTGGCCGGTGGCCAGGTCTGGTCAGCCACTGGGCTGCTTTCCCTGAGATAAACTGATTGGCATTCCTTCCTAGCAGACTTCCATATGCGAGAACAAGCTTCCCCATCGGACTCCAGACAAAGGAAAGCAGTCACTTACCTTTCTGAGCCCCAGTTCCCTTATCTGTAAGTGAGAACAGTAACAGTACTCACCTTGCACGGTTGTTATGAAAGTGAAACGAAAAAGCCACTCCGGGGGAAGGAGAGAGCTGACTGTGGAAATATAGAAAGACTCTTGGGCAGAGACGATGGCCCAGATGAAACAGAGATTGTGACTTTTAAAGTGGTTCCAGTGCACAAGGGTAGATGGTTTTCTGAAGTTGCACTTTGCAGCCTGGGAGTGGGGACATAGGAGGGCAAATGCTTGGATCCAGCCACAGGTCGGGGTTAGCAAAGCAGAGTTTTTGAAGGAGCAAGGGCAAGGGAACTTAAAGTGCTGACTAAGGGCTGAAGTGACAAATGATAGGGGAGCAGTCTGCTCAGGGAGAAGGGCTGCTGGGGACTGCAGGTGTGGTGAAAAGGAAGGACAGGCACAGTGGGGGCATCGAGATAAGGGAAGGTTGAAAGGTTGTGGCCCAAGACTGGAATTTAAAGTTTCTGGTGCAGAGCAGTTCTGGGTGATTATGAGGAGGAGGTGATTGAAGTGGTAGGTGGGGTAAGAGTTGCTGAAGTGGCCAAGCAGCCTTGAGGCCACAGTCATGCACAGTGATACTGAAGTTGCCCAAGGAAGAAGGCAGAGTTTGGTATGGAGAGGAAGACAGTGATCCAGAACCTGATCTGTTTACCATTTCTGTAGCTTCACCCTTTTCAGATGTCAAAGTGGGTGGGGTCATATATAAAGAGCCCTTTCAGACTGGCTCTTTCATTGAGCAATATGTATTTAAGATTCATCCATGTCTTTATATGGCTTGATGTCTTAATTTTTTTATGAATACGATTCCATTGTATGGACATACCAGCTTGTCTACCCATTCACCTATTGAGTGTCTACCCATTCACCTATTGAGTGATATCTTATTTACTTCCAGTTTTTTATAATTATGAGCAAAACTGCTATAAACAAATGCATGTTTGTCTCTATCCCTCTCTCTCTCTCTCTCTCTCTCTCTCTCTCTCTCTCTCTGTGTGTGTGTGTGTGCGTGTGTGTGGTCACAAAATTTCAAATACGCTTGGTAAATACCTAGGAGTACAATCACTGGATTGTGTCTGTACCATTTTTCATTCCCACCAGCAATGAATGTAAGTTTGTGTTGCTTCAGATCCTTGCCAGCAATTAGTATTGTCAGGGTTTTAAATTTTTATTTATTTATTTTAGCCATTCTAATGGTGTGTGGTGATCTCACTTTCCTTTGCTTTATCCAGCCACTCCTGGGTGCCTCGCATGAAGAGCAGGGGGACTGTCACACAGGAGTGGCATGTCAACATTACAGTGGCCAGAGGGTGAGGGGAAAGAAAGCATGTTACATAAGGACCAAGTGAAGGATCTAGGATTGAGAAGACTCAGGGAGGAGATAATCAGGGTTTTTTCAAGTAATTGAGGGGTTCCTCTGGGGAAGCTGATTAAGCATAACCTATAGGGCCCAATCAGTAAGTGTAGGAACCAGAGGATGGGAGTGGGGAGGCAGTGCTTTACCCTAATACAAGGTAGTTCGTTCCCTGCCTTTGAAAGCCCAGGCAGAGACCAGACAGGGCTTTATCACAGTGACTGTAGAACATCATGGGGCTGAGGGTGGAGGGTGCGGAGGTTGAGGGAAAGAGGGGGCCTTGAAGTCCCTTTAACTCCAGGTTTCTAAGAAAACTGTGAATGGGCTTATGAGAAATTTATGGCAAAGTAGATTTCTCATAAGAAAAGACAGTATTTGTAAACCTGAATTTTTCTTTACTTTATGCTTTGATTGTTTTATTTGTGGTTGATTAAATAAATTTCTTTGTGTTCATAACTATTTTGCTTTATTCATCTATAATACTGTTGAGATATTTCCCAGGGGATATCTTAGTCTTCAGTGGCTAAACTCTAGTGCTAATTATACCACTGGAACAATAATGGTGATAATAATAGTGTCTGTATTTTAAAAGCTTATTAGCACCATGACCAAGTGGCATTTATTCTACGACTGGTATACATGGCTGGTTCAACAGTTGAAAATCAACTCATGTAATACAGTGTATCCATAGGCTAAAGAAGAAAAATCATACTATCATACTAATTTATTCAAAAAAGCATTTGACAAAATTCAACATCCATTCATGACTTTTTCGGAAATCTCAGCAAATTAGGAAGCTTTTTCAACTTGATAAAGCATATCTACAACAGTCCTGCAGCCAACATCACACTTAATGGTGAGACACTGGTGCTCTCCCCACAGGATTCGGAACAAGGCAAGGGTGCACTCTCTTAACACTGCCATTCATACCGGAAGTCCTGACTAGCGCAATAAAACAAGAAAAGAAAAGATATACAGGTCGAAAAGGGAGAAATAAAACTGTCTTTATTCACAGATGACATGATTGTCTATTTAGAAAATCTCAAAGAAATCTATTTTTAAAAAATACATCCTGGAACTAATAAGTGAGTATAGCAAGGTTGCAGTTTGTAAGGTCAATATACAGAAGATTTTCTATACCAGCAACGAAGAATTGGAATTTGAAATTCAAAAAAAATCTACAATAGTACACAAACACACGAAGAAATATACTTAGGTATAACACTAACAACTAGGTACAAGTTCTGTTTGTAGAAAACTATAAAACACTGATGCAAAAAAGCAAAGTAGATAGAAATAAATAGAGAAATATTCTATTTTCATGGATTAGAAGATTCATTATTAAGTTCTTCCCAGTTGATCTGTAGATTCAGTTCAAGCCCAATCAAAATCTCAGCAAGCTATTTTATAACTATCAATAAACTGATTCTAAAGCTTATATGGAAAGACTAAAGACATAATACTGAAAAAGAACAAAGTTGGCAGACTCACTCTACCTGATTTCAAGACAGACAGAAAAGCTACAGTAATAAAGACAGCATGATATTGACCAAAGACTAGACATCTAAGACAGTGGAACAGAATAGAGCAATGGTCGCCAACTGGTGGTCTGCAGACCACCGGTGGTCCGTGAGGTCCGAAAGGTTGGCGACCGCTGCAATAGAGAGCCTAGAAGTTGACCCATACAAACATAGTCAACTGGTCTTTGACAAATGCATAGGGACATTCAATGGAGAAAGGGTAATTTTATCAACAAATGATGCTGGAATAATTGGAATTTTTTCAGCATATATAAAAAAATGAACCTAGAGTTTACATCTTTCATAAAAATTAACTTAAAATGGACATAGACCTAAATGTAAAAGTCAAAACTATAGGTCAGACTTGATAGACTTTCCTAAATAGTGGCAATTTAAGTGGAAGCTAAAAGTCAAAACTATAAAACTTTTAGGAAAAAACATAGAAGAAAATCTACATGACCTTTGATGATTATTTATTAGATATGATACCAAAAGTACAATCCATGAAAGAAAAACTTGAAAAGTTGGACTTCATTAAAATTAAACATTTCTACTCTGCAAAAGACATTGCGAAGAGAATTTTTTTTTTTAAAAAAGCACAGACTGGAAAAAATATTTACAAAACACATATCTGATAAAAAACTTGTATCCAAAATATACTCTGAAAATTCAACAATAAGAAACAACCCAATTAAAAAATGGGCAAAAGATCTGAGTAGACACCTCACCCAAGAAGATGTGCAGATGGCAAATAAACATGAAAAGATGCTCAACATCATTTGTCACTGGAAAATGAAAAAGACTACATACCAATTAAAATAGCTAATAAACAAAATTTGACAAATACCAATTGCTAGCAAATACCCAGAGCAACACAAACTCTTGTTCATTGCTGGTGGGAATGCAAAATAGTGCAGACACAACCCAGCAATGCACTGCTAGGTATGGTTTCTAATCTCATTGTCTACTAAAAGGAACCCAGGCTTTTTGGAGAAAAGTGGCTGGTTTAGGACTGGGGCAAGAAATGTCCAAGATGAGCCTGTAGCACCTTATAGTGCTGGAAAATAAGGAAATGCTTAAACAAGCCCACAAACCAAAGCAATGCTGGGGTCAAAGGGAAGGGACGCAGGAACCAACTGAAAGAGGCCTCAGTGGCTGAAGCGGGAATGATCTGAGCAACAAAACAAATGACACAGTATTGGATCAGAACCCAAAGAATAAAATAAATATAGGTGAGTCCATTCTGATATAAATAAGTGATTGGATAAATAAAGGGGGCAGACAAGACAAACCTCCTATGCAGAAGAATTCCAAATAATTAATGTAGATCATTTGCCCTCAAGAAGGTGGAGCAAGCACAGCTGCCCTCTTCCTTCTATAGCATCTTCCTTGGAGAGTTTGAGGTGAAAGTATTATTTATGTGACCAATTCCCTATTGATGGGCATTTTCTATTCTTTTGCTTTATAAACAGTGCATCAGTGAACCTTTGTACATATGTCCCTCTAAATTTCTATATTCATAAGGTAAATATTCTAGGGAGAATATAACTTTAAAGACACATTCAAGTTGTTCTTCAAAATGGTCCTGTGAATTTATATTCACCAAAACAGTGTCCAAAAGTACCAGTTTCTCCACACTTTTGGTACAATGTATGACTCACAAAGGGTTAATGTGTTTTCTTTAATATACAAAGACCATTTACTAATCAATAGTAAGAGGACAGATGTCCCAATAGAAAGATGGGTGAAGGACCTGAGCAGGTAATTCACAAGGCAAATAGTACAAGTGACCTATAAATATTTGTAACAAAAAACTGAAAAGAAGGCAAAAAATTGTTGATTGAGCAGTCATTAAAGAAATGCAAAATAGAAACAGTGAGATATTATTTTGCCCATTAGTTTAGTAACGAAAAAAAGAGTTGTAATAACTGGTACATGTGCCTGTGTATGGGAACACGGATCTGCTCAAACTTGTTAATAGATAAACAAATAGACCTTTTAGAGGCCAAGTTTTTTATATCTACTTTTGGAAAATAGGTACACATACTTTTATTCATTCCACCTTACAGGAATTTTATCCTAGGACATTAACTAAAAATATGTAAAGATATATATATATATATATATATACATACATACATACACACACACACACACACACACATATATATATATATATGCTCACCACAGCAAAATTTTTTTATGTGTTAATCCTCACCCGAGGATATTTTTTCCATTGATTTTTTTAGAGAAATAAGAAGGGAGGGAGGGAGGGAGAGAGTAAGAGAAAAAGAAACATTGATATGAGAGAGATTCATTGCTCAGCTGCCTCCCGAATGAATCCCAACCGGGGCCGGGGATCAAACCTACAACCCAGGTATGTGCCCTTGACTGGGAATCAAACCCAAGACCCTTCTGTGTGCGGGCCCGCACTCTAACCATTTAGCAATCTGGCCAGGGCACCACAACATTCTTTTCTACAACAAAAAATTAGAAATAACCTACCCAACAATAGGGGATCACTTAATGATGCTACATTCCTAAGATGAAGTACCTAGCAGCCACTAAAAAGTATGTTGTGGAAGAATATTTATTCACTTATAGAAATTCTTGTGATATGATTAACATACAACGTATACTCTTTGAAAAGAAAGGCTAGACGGACACACACCACAGTGGTTATCTTGGTGGTCTGTATGTTGCAAGTGATTCATCTTTTGTGCTTATCTCTGTTTCCCTTGTTTTCTAAATTAAGCTTCTTTTAAATTTTGTAGTTAGAAAAGAGAATTAAAAATGTTTAGGCCCTAGTTGGTTTGGCTCAGTGGATGGAGCATTGGCCTGCAGACTGTAGGGTCCCAGGTTTGATTCCAGTCAGGGGCACATGCCTGGGTTGTGGGCTCGATCCCCATAGGGGGCATGCAGGAGGCAGCCAATCAGTAATTCTCTCATCATTGATGTTTCTATCTCTCTTTCCCTCTCCCTTCCTCTCTGAAATCAATAAAAATATATTTTAAAAAATGTTTAGAGCTGCTGATCCTACCTTTGTAATATCTTCCTTACCTGCCCCTTCCTCCATCTGCCTCAGCATGGCCCTAGCTCAGGCCTCCCACCTCTCATTTAGACCATTGCACCAACTTCCTGTTGGGTGTTCCTATAAAGGGATCTAGCCTGTCATTCTTCTGCTCAGAAGCCTCTGGGACTCTCCTGTGTGTAATTATTTGTCTTAGGTCCTTCTTATCACTTTATTTCTCCAGACCCCTACAATCTGGCTTTCACTTCCCTTGTTAGCATCAGATCTCCCTCATCATCTCCACCCCACAGCTGTTGCGTTAGTCTACTTGGCTCTCCCTGGTCCTGCTGTATACACCACACTTCAGTCCTACCTTTACCAAAAGTCTGAAGTCTAGTCAAAAGTCTACCCACCTTTCAAGACCTGCCTCCTCCAAGAAGCCCTCCTCTATCATCACCTCCCCCATACTCCAGGCCAGGCCACCACCACCAGCTGCCTCCTCCTCTGGTCACCTCCATACCAGGCAAGCACTGATAGGGTCTGGATTGCAGTGCCTGGAGCCTGTACACAGTAAGGGCTTCATGAAAGTCTGTTGGATTGAATTGACCTAGAGTTGCCTCCACATGCCATATGCTATAGATCAGAGTCAACTCTCCTGCTCTATAAATATGTGTGATTTGTTTGGCATGCAGGAATTTATTAAATTATACAGGACACATAAATGATCACACTGGAGATTATGTGGCATAAAAATGTGCATGTATTAAAATATAAGGTTTATGGGTATATCACGTGGTATCCAGAATATCTTCCTTCCATAACTGGCTAGTAAACATTTGAGTCTGAACTTAATTTTAGGCAATTCCTTGGGAAAAAATGATTCTATGGAAACCAGGGCATGTCCTGGAACCAACCACAGATAATTATGCAGAGAAAACTTTTCTATAATATTCCTGCTTAATGTGAAAAGCAGAGTTTTGATTCTTGGTTATTCTTTCCTTGTTTTCTCATTGGAAAGGGCCAGTACTTCAGTAAAGAGGATACATTTGGTTGCAGCAGTAAACGTGCTTTGTTAACTCTAGAATATTCTTAACTAATTTTGCTTAGTAGAATTTAGAGGTTTCCAATGCCCCGCCTTCCTTTGAACCCCACACCCTGTCCCTACTCCCCACCTTTCTCTTTAGAGCTTCATTGCCCTCTTAGCCTCCGTGCTCTGCAAAGAGCCGTGGCAGCAGTGAAACCTCAGCCAGAAAGCTGGCCACTCCCCAGAGCTCTCGGCATAAAGCTCCTCTGTGTTCTCAGAGGTGTTATGCGAGTCAACTACACATGGGGAGATGACTTTCTTGGTCCCACCAAAGGACTCGGGGGCTTGAGGATGTTGATTTATGTGAGAGGTCAAGCCTGAGTGATGTTCTGAACCAGAAGTACCAGGATGCTCTTTGGCATCTGCTGTCTCCACAAAAACATGTCCTTAATCTGCATTGTTTTATGGAACTTTTGTAAGATATTTCTGTGTCATTTTCATTAGTATTTGGGTAACCCTACCCTAGAAAATTAAACTTGTTACAATTGTGTGAATATTGGTAAATTCTTCTTGTCTTAGGTCTGGCTGAGGATATGGATCTCGTGGGTGGTACTGACAGTATGCATATCCCTTTGGCCACTTGTCCATTCATCCATCCATCCATCCATGGCCTCCCTGGGATCCTTCTGAGTAGGAATCCTGTCTGACCCATCTCAGAATTCCCCGCAGCGCTTGTCAAGAGACTCCTGTCATGGAGGCGCAATAACTAACCCCCTGGGGGACGACAAAAGTATTGACCTCTCAGCACCACTGTGTGTTGGAGAGGTGGTGCTGAGAGTAGGGGACCCATTTGCCAGGTAGGGTGTCATTAAGGAACCCGAGACCTCACACAACCCTGAGTGATGCTTTCCCAGTTTCCCAGCCTCTTGGGAAATCCCATTAAAAGTGGTGGGCAGGGTGACATGGTGGCCCAGCATTTAACAACTTTTCTGGTGTGTGTATCTGTCTGTCTGTCTGTCTGTTTGTGTATTTGACTCTACAGGTCAGCTTTTGGGTTGTACGAGAAATTCTAACAGCACAGACTTTAAAAATAAGGGCAGAAATCCTGAGCCATTTTGTGAAAATAGCCAAGGTAAGCTGTTTTTATTTTTTCAATCCCCTTTCCTTTCTCTCTGTCTCAAAAATGTGTCCCTGCCCAGATGGCGTGGCTCAGTGGTTGAGCATCAACCTATGAACCAGAAGCTTAGGATTCGATTTCCAGTCGGGACACATGCCTGGGTTTCAGGCAGCCAATCAATGATTCTGTCTCATTGGTGTTTCTATCTCTCTTTTCCTCTCTCTTCCTATCTGAAATCCATAAAAAAAATATTTAAAAAATGTTTTCTCAATAATTTGGGAGCAGCTGTGCTCTGGGTCTGCCTGGGCAGGGTTCAGATAGGGGGTGGTGACCTGACTTCCCCAGACAGAGGCAGCTGGGAGACTGACCTGGATGCAGCATGCTCCTCCACCCTGTGATTTTGGCATCCAGCTATTCTCTTTGGCCTTTCACACTCTCCATGAGGCCCCAGGGGCTACCCCTGGGATCCATCCTCCTCCTCCTTCAAATTTAGTCGGTTCAGGGTTGGTGAGTTTACTTAGAATTGATTTTTGTGATGCCATCACATCCTGCAGTTTTGTCCCCAGCCAGCAAAGCTCACCCACCCATCCTGAGCTAAGACCTGGGCCGGATGACCCTGTTGCTCCCACTCCCAACTCCTGCCTGACGGGTTCTGTCCTTGTCAGTAGTTGGGTACCGGCTCATGTCTGCATCCCATCTTTCCCCTCTTCCCTCATTTCTGCCAGCCCCGCTGTGGTCCCAGGGGCCTTTCTGAACCACTCTCATCACTTACACAGCCCAGCCACCTCCTCCCCACACACTTCTCCCGGCCTCCAGCTTGCCTGACCAGCGGAACACTGTTCTGCCTGGTCCACTCCTTGCTTCATGTGCACCTGTTGTTTCCCCACCCCGATCCTAGGCCAGCTAACCTTTACTGAGGCCCCTCAGCAGCCAGGCACCGCAGTAGGAGCTTTAGGGAAATGATCGTAGTCAATGTCACATGATTACTATCCCATTCCCAGAGGACGAAAGGGAGGCTAGCGAGGTGAATGTCCATGCCCAGGGCCCACAGAGTCCGTGGAGCATGCCTTCTGGGGAGCTGCTCTCCTGCCCTCCCTCGAGGAAGGTTAAGGGCATCCATCTATGAAGTATGTGTGTTAGGGGCACTGTTATGTCCTGTGCGTCTGAAGTACTTGGACCAGGCTGGGCTTCGTGATACTTGCTGTTAGCGAGTTTGTGCTGGGCCTTCTGAGAAAGTGCGATTATGTTCCAGCCTACCTCGTGCTTTCTGTTTGGAAATGAGTTTATGGTCCCCACCCAAGGGACCTAAAGGGATCCCTTTTAACCTCTGCCATCTTCCAATGGTGGACCGCCATGCTGCACGGTGCCTTGGGAATGTGCTTGTGCAGGCTCCTCCTCCTCTGGGCCTCAGTTTCCCATCCATACAAGGGAAGGGGTGGACTGGATCATCTCCCAGAGCAGCGGTCGCCAACCGGTGGTCTGCGGACCATTGGTGGTCCGTGAGGTCCGAAAGATTGGTGATAGCTGTCCCAGAGGACCTTCAGCTCTAAAGAAATTCTGTAACAGGTATCGTAATTCAGTTACATACGACGAAATTCTGTTCGCACAGAGAATCTGTTATTCCACAGCAGGAAACAATTAGAGAACGTTACAAGATGTGTGAAGTCTGAACGTTGTGGTAAGGGAGAAATCTCCAAGTAGGAGCAAAGCCATGAAGACTAGGCATGAGGGCTTTTCATTTATTTGCCCCAGCCCTCAGGGAGCACCGTCCAGTGTGCTAAGGAGAGGCACAGACTGTTGTGGGGTCAGACAGTGGGGTCCCCAGACTTGGGAACATGGTCAGGAAAGACATAGTAGAGGCAGTAGCACCTGAGCTTGGAAGTACCCAAGATGAGTGACGGGGGATATGGGGGGACACGTCTTCCTGACAAAGAATGAGCAACTCACATCACCATGAGTGCTGACCCTGGCATCAGGCCCTGGTCTAGGCAGTTTACATGGGCCGTCCCAGGTAGCAGAGGGGCCGTGACTTCCTTCCTTGTTTGTTTTTTTAAAATATATTTTTATTGATTTCTGAGAGGAAGAGAGAGAGAGAAACATCAATGATGAGAGAGAATCATTGATCAGCTGCCTCCTGCACACCCCCCACCGGGGATCGAGCCCGCAACCTAGCATGTGCCCTTGACTGGAATCGAATCCGGGACCCTTCAGTCCACGGACTGACGCTCTATCCACTGAGCCAAACCAGCTAGGGCCCTTCCTTGTTTTAACTATGAGGGTGCCAAGGCTCAGGAGTAGTGTTTGAAGTGGTGACCTGTGCCATGGACACACAAGGAGTGGGTGCCCCGGGGGTGGGGGGTCTGGAGAGCCTGCTGCTAACCCAGGCTTCATGGACTCCCGAGAATGAGACTGGGACCCCGTCTTGTTAGCAAGCTTCCCTCGCATAAAACCAGGACCAGAGCCATTACATTTTTCTGCACTTACTCTTGACTGTGTCTCCTTCTGTTGCCCTCCATGGCAAGGAACTTGTCTGAGTCTGAATTGAATCCAAATGTTCTCACTAATTCCGGGTCTGGTTCAGAGGCATATAGTCAAGTGGCTGGAAAGCCAGATCTGTCCTGCCGGCTGAGGCGGGTTATGCAGACTGATGGCGCCTTTCCTTAGCCCCCCATTCAGTGTCCAGGTGATCACCAAAGACCCACGCTGATGTTGGCCAGCTGAGGTTTCAGTGCACAAAAGCCTGCTGGGACTGTTCAGATTTGTCTAAAAAAAAAAAAAAAAAAAAAAAAAGAACATAAAGGGCATTATCAAACCTTCTTCTGAGCCATGTTTCTGTCCAGCAGCCAGACTAGTTAGCTTATGAAATTTTGCAAATGTTGTAGCTGCAAACTCACCTTGTGGCAATTTGAAAGGAAAAGAGCATATGGTTTCTATGAACTTCCTAGAACTACATTTTCTACATGAGATATTTTTAAGTGCAATTGAATTTCATAAATATGACATTTGGTAACACTTGAGCGTGTTTTTGTTCTGTTGTTTATAGCAGCAAAATAATCTATTCCATATCTTTTCCCCCCAGAAACTCCTAGAACTCAACAACCTTCACTCTCTCATGTCTGTGGTGTCGGCATTACAAAGTGCACCCATCTTCAGGCTGACAAAGACCTGGGCTGTAAGTGAATCTTCCTGAGTCTGTTCCTTTGATTTTGGCTGTCACTTCAGTGCTGAAGCTCTTCATTCCTTCAGCCCCAGAGGCTTTCTCTGCCTGTCCGCCCTGTGCCAACAACGGAGGACGACTGGGGGCTCAGGCACTGCTCCCTGGGCACCTTCTCTTCTTCAGTGGCCTCAGGAAGTTGGGAGGACACCGATGTGGATGAGTTTGGGACCTTCCTCTACCCTACCACGTCCAGTGTGACGGCCGGGTCAGCGCACGACTCCTGCCCTCCGCTTGGCTGGTATTCGTCTCTGGCAGGCGCCAAACAGTGCTTGGCTAGGTCTCTGGGCTGATGGTTTGCAGCTGCTGTGGGTTGCTGGCCATATAGCTAGGAGTTTCTCTGGAGAAACCTGTGACCCTCCTGTAGGGAAAACTGCTTTTTTCCTGAAGGCCATGGGTAGTTTCAGCCCAGAGGTGGAATCTGATAGTTATATAATTGAGTCCGTAGGAAAGTTTTTCTGCTATAAAAATATCTCAGACCTCTTTATCCTCCTTAGCTTGGCACGGTGCCTGACACAGGGAAAGTAATCGCTATTTCCATAGCTCGTTAGCATTCACCTCCTGGCTGCCTGGTCCAGGGTCTCACAGCCACGCAGCCCAAGCCTTTCAAGACCTGTTTATGTCCCACGGAACTGAAGGAAACGCTATGGAATTGTCAGCTGTGCTTCTGCAACTCATTTCCGACCTTCTCCCTGCCAGCCTGTGGGGCTGGGCTCTGTTTCACACTTGGCTAGTTCCAGGGCTTTTAGGGATTATGTGTAGGTGATCAGATTTGAGCCTTGTTGCTTTAAAGTGCAATTTTCCATCGATCTAGCTCTAGCGAAGTCGGGTGAGGAGTGTTAGCTTAGACTCAGAGACCTGGGTTTGTGTTCAGGCGCAGTGCAGAGCGTGACTCCTGTGGGACTCGTTTCCCATATCTACTCAGAGAGGTTGGCCTAGGTTAGCGGTTTTCCATCACTGCTTTTGGAGCCCCAGGGGTTCCTTGGAGCTGCCGGGGTGAGGGTGCCAGGGGCTGGGGGAGAAGGGGGAGGGTGCCAAGTAGACAGTGGGGCACTATTTCTAGCAGAGCAGCTCTGTTTGTATCAGTTTTGTATACCGGCTTCTGGGTGAATTTCAGTAGAGCAGTGGCTTTAGAGGTGGAAAGCAAGTTTGGAAGCTGCTGGTTTATGCAGTAGCTGCCAGCCCTGTGATTCCCCGACTCCATCTGAGCTTGAGGCTTTTTTTTCAAAAGTTGCTTGGAGAGTCTTTTTGAAATGAATTTTCCATCATGTAGATGCTGTTATTGTTTCTTGGACTGCTGGGAGCTATGCATGGACCCAGAGGAGTGAACGATGAATCTCACGGTGCATAGACCTTCCTGTCAGCGGTATTGTGGCTCTCAGGGGCCCTCTAAGTTATGGTTATGAGGGCTGTCAGGAGTCTCACAAGCCACCACTCACCCACCTGTCCTGCTAGTCCAAGGACACTGGTGTACACAGAGCATTTGGGAAACAGAGAAGGCCAAACACGTCATCTTTCCCCTTCATCCTGATCACCCAGCTCAGAGGCATCGAGACGGTATTGTATCCCTGACACTCTCCACGCCTGTCCTTACACAGCACGTGGCACATCTGCTCTGTAGTTTTGTTCATAGGTCCACCTCCCCTCTGACTGCCTGCCTTTATGATGAGGCCTGATCCCCCCCTGTATCCCAGGTGCCTGGCTGAGTATGCACTTGTTGTTTGAATTGTATATGTTTGTTGTGCTGAATTGAATTCTTCTCTTGCTCCTAATTTCTGATAATAAGATTAGCCATAGAAATGTAGCCCTCCCCCACATGCCCCTTGATCTGGTCCTGGTGAGACCTCGGGCCCAAGAGCAGGGAGGAGCAGGGGCACCAGGGCACTGCTGAAGTATTCATAGTCTTCATTTATCAGAAAAGGAATCTGAGGTCCAAGAGGCACAGTGACCTGTCCAAGATCACAGAGCCAGCGGGTGCAAGCCGATGTGCTGCAGCCTTGCCTTGCCGGGCCTCCTAGCCCATGTTCTTGGCCAGCGTGCCAGATGAGCTGGCAGTGACGGAACCTGGCGTTGGAACCAGGGTGAGCGCAGGGCTTGGAGAAACAGGCACTCTCGCTGTTGGGAAATGGGTCTGGAGAAGGGAGGCTGGTTCCCTGCCCTGGGGACAGGGCAGCCTGGCTCCCTGGCATTGCTCTGAAACCCTGGGTATCTGGGAAACAGGAAGAAGTGAGCTACAGGTGTGGGAGGAGACCTGCCACCTGGTTGCACCAGTGGTGACCGCCAGTGAGGACCAGTTGGTCATTAGCTATAGGACAGGGTAACCTTTTGGCTGGCCCCTGCTGGCTGTTGAGTGCCAACAGCTGAGTGAGCTGGGACAGGATCGAGATTGGTACCAGGCACAGGCCTGCACATAGTAGGCGCTTAATTAATGCTGACTAGATGCACAAACAGGGAGGGAATCAACTTTGCTGGCCTGGAAAAATACAGACAGGGTCTGATTTATCCCAGTACTAGGGCCACTTTGGAATATTGGCTGCCTCAAAGCCATGAGACCTTAGAAGTTATATCAGCCAATTCTGATTTCCTGAGTACACATTACCGTGTGTACTTATTCATTCTGCAAATCAAATATTTATTGAATGCCTCCTCCATGCCAGGCCCTAAGGCTCTGCTCAAGGCCCCTGTCTTCATGAGCTTTTTTTTTTAATGTTATTCAGCGGAGACAGACATGTTATTGAGGGAGAATAAACACATGCCTAGTCTGCCTGGCACAAGAAGTGATCGATGTTTGTTGAATGCATGAAGTAATGAGAAAAGAACTGTCAGATGGGAACAAAATGATCAGAAGACTGAAACAGGAGGATGTGATAGAAACGACCGGGTGTTTAGGGAAGGCCTGCCCGACCCCTGAGGAACAAGAGGAGCCAGCGGTGCCAAGATGAGGGCACGCGCATTTTAGGCAGAGGGCTCAGCCAGTGCAAAGGCCCACAGCGGGAAGAAACGCAAAGGCCATTGGGCAGGAGCACAGTGGGCCAGGAGGAGTGGGTCAGGATGCCGTGCATGGGAAGCCGGACCAATCAGGAAGGGCCAGGGCCCAGCAGAGGAACTAGGTTGTATTCTAAGTGTAGAAAAGGGTTTTAAACAGAAACCGACATGATCTGGCTCACAGTTGCTTTTGTTTTTTAATTACAGTTGCTACTGGGTAGAAAACAAATTGAGTGGGGGACTCTGGAAGGAGCCCACAGTGGGATGGGGCCTCCTTAGGAGGTTAGGGCAGAATCCAGGAGAGAGGCAATGCTGGCCAGGAGGAGGAAGTGGCAGTGGACATAGAGAACAGGAGACTGATAGGAGAGGCATTCTGAAGACGGGGTTGGCAGGACTTGTGATGGATGGGATGTTGGAGATGAGGAAAAGAAAGGAATGAAGGATGCTTCATAGGTTTTGCACTTGAGCAACTGGGAAAATGGTGAAACTCAGTCCCAAGAGGAGACTGACTTATTCATGAGTGACCTGGGGGTATGGGATTCCTGGAGAATGGGTGAGTCACTCCTTACAGTAATTAGGATCATGTGCTATGCATCACACACATACACACACACGCACACATGCACGCACATGCACACATGCACATGCACACATGCACACACGCACAGCTTGCTCTGTGCACGTTCCTATTATGATTCACTCTTTCCTACTGAATTGATCCAGATATTTTGACTCATCTGCAGCAGCAAGTGAAAACTGAGGTTTCTGGCTGGTAGGACATCTCAGTTGATGGGCCAGGAGGCCTGGTCTGCAGGGTGGTGACTTGGAAAGGGAACTTCTGGGAACGGGGTTTTCACTCCCAGACATCTGGGGGCACAGGGTCATGGAGCTGCAGTTCTGGGAATGGCTACTTTGCAAACATCCTAAGAAGGCAGATGTGTTTGTATTTCAGATTTTAGGGTCTTTCATCCAGGAAGTATCCCAGTAGCCCCCACTCTGATGTTGAGAAGGTGGTGACAGGCATGAGCTGCCTGTTTCAGGCTTTCCCAAGCCTTCAGAGGTGAGATGGTGAGGAGTGAGGAGATGGAAGGCAGAGGAGACCAACACTTGCACTCTCCAGTTGCTCCTTTCCCAGACATTCTTCAGTGGCCCTGCCTGCGCTGCCTCTCAGAAGCTCCCAACCATGGATTCTGCTGACTTCGCCACCCTCATCTCTCTTGACATCGTCGCAACATTGGACATTGTTCATTGCCCTCTTCTTGAAAAATCTCTTCGCTTGGCTTGGTTCCCTTCCTGCCCTTCTGGCAGCGGGCTCCTCCCCACTTGCTTTTGTTCCTCCCTCCCCCTAGATGCAAGTGTTCTGGAGGCTCTGACCCCAGTTCCCACCCTCCCCAATCCATTTCCCATCCCTTGGGGATGTCACCGGCTTGGAGAGCTTCAGCCATCACCTCTGTGCCCCAGCGGTGGCTGCCTCCTCCCTCTCCCTAGCCTCTCTTCGGAGCCCTGGGCCCGCGTTCCCACGCCTGCCCCACAGAGCCCTCTGCTCACATGTTCCTTTCACAGCTCACAACTTGGCATGTCTGAAATCCAACTTTGGTTTCCAGGAAGTGACAGTGGGTGCCAGAAGCCTCTCTTAGCAGACTGTTTTGGACTTCGAGGCAATATGGCAGACTGAGCTGATAAGGAATAAGTTTCAGCCTCCCAATTGCCTGCTCCACAAACACACAAACACACACTGGAAAAAATACAACCAAAATAAAAACCAGGAAGCAATGCTAAGCCAGAGCTAAGAAAGGGAAGTCATTATGTGCTAGAAATAAAGATGCTCTCAGAGTCAGCACAGTTAGCAGTTATGTGAAATGGCCAAGGCCCTTACAGGGGGCTCGGGGCCTAATGCCTGCACAGGGAGGAGAGGCCAGACTGCAGCCTCCATGTAATTCAGTTCCCATAGGAATCAGCCATCCGTGTCACCT